TAAATTTTATACTAAGTTTTCTCTTGTAAAAATTGAATCAACAATTAATAAAGATCACAATTTGAGAAGTGCCTCACTAAAAAAAAAAGGAAGGGGAAGTGAAGGGAGAGAACGGGGGGTAGTACCTATTTTGACGAATAGAATTCTGTAGAGGTGATCTTTTCTGGAAACTTGCAGGAAGAGACACCAGATACAATGGGAAAAGGATCACCAAGTCATCTTTTTTCCTAAACCAAATACCTTCTACACCTTTTTTAAATTTTTCCTGTTTCTGGCGATCATCATAACACTAACTGGATGATTATCACGCCACAATATCTTTTCTGAAGATCACAATCTTAACACCTACCAGATTGGTATATGAATAGGCTTCTTATAAGAAACGGTACATAGCAGATCATGGCACCAGATATTATATTAATTCTATTCAATCACTTTCACCTGGGATTGAACTGGTATCTTGTGATCTGGACCTGAGAGCACTGACCACTGTGCTATAGACCCACAGGTCTTTAAAGAAGGAAAGTTTTTACTCTTTAAGTATTACTTTCACAGGTATAGTTATGGCCATCTCCAGTATGTACCGGTAGTCAGGCAACTGATGCTTACCGGTGCCACACCAGTCCCTAGATGATTAATCTGATGTTTCTAACAGATCCCAGACCTCCTATGAGAAACTTCACAACATATTTTTCCATATTACAATAGATCTGAATCTAGGTTGTCACTGGTCAGGAACTATCAAGCATGGGTTTCTGCTTTTATACTGGCTCATTGGATAATAGTATTATGGTAGTTAGGCAATTGACGCTTACCATGATGACCCTTGCAAATTGGTTCAACAGGTTTGTACTGCCATCATCCAGTATTGAACTCGCAACCTCCTTACAGAAGTGCTAGCCATTTATCAGTATACTATGTTCCTATAGGAACTGTCTAATTTGATTATATTAACTTATAGTAATTTAATTAATAATGTGTGAGGGTCCTTTAAGGTCCTCTCGAATAATTAAGTTTTTAAGGCTGAGATATAATAATTTGGTCTGAGTATCTTGCTCTTTCTCTAAAAAATAAACTCAAATTCATCCGTTAACATGCACATTCGTTTACTTAAACTATACCTAAGTTCCTGTTGTAGCAATGATGCATTTACACTTCCAAACTACTCTAAAACTCTTCCAAAGTCCTTTATGGTCGCATTTTCATCTTCAAATGTCAACACATTTGCAAAGTAGTTTACTTGAACAATTAGATGTTAAACAGTTTTAAGCAAATAGTTATTAAACAAATAATTGTTAAGCAAATAATTGTTAATTTATTCAGACATTTTCGCTCTCCTTATATACATGCTAATTACAAAAAATTATCTCAGATATATCAACTATCTCAACTATCTTAACTATCTCAACTATCGCTAATATATCTAATTTCTCAACTATATTAAATATTTTAAATAAATCAAAGAAATCAAAGAAATAAAATAAAAGAAATATATTAAGATATCCCATTTTTCTCAAATTTGTCATTTTTAGGATCATCATTGCATAGACTCATGTGACCATGCAATTTCCCTTTCACAATTCTTCTCCGCTAAAAAAACACGTTCCATGGGTTCTTCCATAATGAGTCAATTAAATTTGTGTTTCGTGAGCTTGACAATCATCGAAAGAGTGGTATATGTCGTTCGATAACTTTGCACGACTCTATGTGGTTCGAAAAGATAATAGGTCTAGATCGTGGCTTTAAGGTAATATGCGGTCAAAATGCTTCGTATGACAGGTCTTTCTGCTGAGATAAGTGTCTGTATCCTTGCTCCCAAATAATATGCATGAGTAAGGCTGCTAATCTGATTTTCAATACTTCTAGCACTTCTAAGTCGATGATAAGCTATCGTGACTTGATCTTGAAATCCTTGACTCTCGTGATACAGACATATTTCAGGCATTACGGATAACAGCTGAGTAGACAAAATATCAAATCTGACGAGATTCTCTATTGTTCCCATAAAAAAATAAAAAGAATAAAAAATAAAATAAATAAAATAAAAAATATCCTCTGAATTGCCCTCTTATATAAAAAAAAAGTCAATTCTCAACGCTTCCTCTCCAAGTATTTCTTCAAGTGAATCCTATTAATTGACGTAGATAAAACTTTCCCATCTAATTTCCTTAATTTGTAAGCTCCATTTGTAAGTATAGCGTGTACATAATATGGTCCTTTCTATTTAGGTGCGAACTTGTGACTTGAAGCGTTCATTTGCTGCATATCGTAAGCTAATATTTTATTTCTAATTCCAAAAGTAGTAGTGTCTTTCAACTTCCGATCGTAATTTGCCTTCTGTTTTTGTTGATTGTCCTGGGTCTGTAAAAGCACTTGTTTTCTCGTGTTCAGTACTTTCGTAATCAACTCATACATTCTCTGCAAGAACGTTCCATTAAGTAAATCTTCAGATTCACTCAGGTGGGCAGGTAATCTTGCTTCTCTTCTGTAAGTTAACATAAAAGGCGTTTGCTGGGTCGTAGCTTGTCTTGTGGTGTAATAAGCAAATAATATCAGCTGAATCATCGTATCCCATTCCGTTATCTTAGTAACTAATCGGACAATCGAGTTACATAAGGTCTTGTTAAATCTCTCCACTAATCCATTGGTTTGCGAGTGGTATGGGGTAGAATATTGATGCTCCACTTGTAATATTGCCATGAGTTTGTCAATCGTTCTATTCCTAAAATATGTGCCTCGGTCTGTGAGTATATGCATTGGACATCCATGTCTGCATATAATATCTTCATATATAAATTTGGCAACTTCTTCGGCTGTGTCTCTTCATATGGCATGTGCTTTCGGCCACTTGGTCATATAGTCGGTCGCTACTATGATATACTTGTTCAATCTAGGCATCGTCGGTAAAGGTCCAACTATATCAATTCCAATCTTGTAAAAAGGTGTTATCACGGGGATAGGGTGTAATGGTAGCTTCTCCTTCTTCGCTCTAGCTTTCTGGCATCTGTGAGGGTCTCTCAAAATCCTCTCTAATAATTAGGTTTGTAAGGCTGAGATATAATAATTTGGCCCGAGTATCCTGCTCTTTCTCTATAAAATAAACTCAACTTCATCTATTAGCATATGCATTCGTCTACTCAAACTATACCTAAGTTCCTGTTGTAGCAATGGGCATTCACTCTCTCAAACTACTTTAAAACTCT